TGAAACTAATCTCTATTTCCGAATCTTCCAGACACTTCGCTAATAACCTGAACTCTTTTTCCTCGTAGCCATCGGGTTGTCCAATGAATTTTTGCCAAAGTCGAAAAATTAAAAATTAAAATAAAGGATATGAACAAAAAAGCGAAATGTTTTTATTCTAAGAGAAAAGGTCAAAGAGTAAATCCGAAATTTTGAAGAAAAAGCCATCAACTGAAATAAAGAAAACCTGTGGAACTGGAAGATGTCAATTATAATTACTTTAGTCGGCCATGATTTTTCACACGTGCCTTGAAATGGCGCGAACAAGGACATTTTGGAGTGCGTGCAAGTGGGTATGCCGTGGCTCAGTTAGTAAAGACAGTATTTTTTTTAAATTCATCGCAACACACAAACTAATCACAGGTGGTAATATAAGACATTAAATACACATACGATTTAATTAGAATTTATTTATACATACTTAACTGGGACAAGAAGTGGCTTGTAAATTTTAACGCCTCAAAAACGAAACTATTATCTTTTAGTTATCATAGAGAACTAATGGCTGATGCTAACCTCCAGGAGAACAACTCATTACGCCTTCTTGGTTTCACGTTTTCCACTAACATGATGAGGAGTGATTATATTCAATCATTTGCTTGATCTGCAGCTAGACAATTTGATTCACTGTGTCGTGGTCTGGTGCTTCTGTGATATATCTCGAGATTCTTGACAAAATCCAAAGAAGGGTTTGCAATGTCTTGACCTGGCATCTCGATTTTAGTCACTTACCTACCACAATGGAATGGTGTTTTCTATCTTTTTTTACAAATATATTGTTGTGGCCTGTTAAGGGCCAGAAAGAAAGACATGGAAAGAAGAAGGTAAGATGAACAAGTGAATTGAAATAACAGAACATATATACAAAATAAGAGTGTTATTAGTCAGCAGATAGAAGTGTCCGTCCGAACTATCAGGTTACACTGCGTCGCGACTGCAAATATTTAACAGCACCCCACTCCACGAGGGATGTATGTGGCACAAGGCCGAGTTTACTGTGGGTTCTCCGAGCCCGTAGGCTCGGCCAAAATATTCCCTTAGAACCGGCATAAGCGGGTTCAGGGCCTGTCTACCTCCCCGGACGAAACTTTGCCCTTCGGCAAAGCTTCATCCGGGTTCCTCTCTACCAAAGCAGAGAGTTCGACAGAAGTCGTACATAGTCGCAGACTACCTCCCGACTGCTTCCTTAGGAAGTCTCGCAGATTAGTATTTATGAAGGAGGAGGAGTTCATTCTCATGTAGAATAGGTCACCATAACATACATGGCAATTGTTCTAATGAGCTTTCCTCCTTGGTGCGTCGATCACATGAATTTTAGCGTAGTGCCAGATTGGCAAATAGATCTCATCGTTTTACTATTGCAATAACAAGATATAATCTTAAGTTCTATTCTAATAGTTTCTTTTCTCGCACTTCTCGCCTGTGAAACTACCTTTAGTTTTCTTTCTTCCCTACCACATATGATTTCCAAATATTTAAATGAAATGGTCAATCGCCATTTTCTGTCTCAGTGAACCCTCTTTTATTAATAGTTATTTCCCCCTCCTTAATATCTCTCTTCTCATTTGCTTTCATTCTCGGTAATGTCCACTACCTCAGTAGCCACTATCACTTTTGTTTGGAGCGAAATGATTAACAACAACGACATACAAATTTCTGTCTTACTTATCTATTCATGCATAAATTAGCGTATTATCTTTATTATTATTATTATTATTATTATTATCATTAATAGTAATAATAATAATAATAATAATTCCTTTGATTTCTGGCGTGTACACATTTCTTTCCAGGTCCCGCCGAGAGACCTAAGGTTAGAAATGGCATCATGACACTTTCCACTGGCAAAAAAAAAAAAAAAAAATTACATAAAGTAATGTGTGGGCTGTACTTGTGCGAGCAATTTTTTTTATTTCTTTGAGGCATGGACTTCCAGGAATCCCTTCAATTAGTCTACTGGAATTTTTTCCAACCAATCATAGGGCTCCAACTACAACAGGGATTGTTGATGTTCCCATGTGCCACATTTTTGAGATTTCGATTTGTATTTTGACAGCTTTTTAAATATCTTCAAAGATACACTGCAGTCTGCAGGGACTGCCATATCAATAAGGAGGGACTTTTTTTCTTTGTGGTCTTTAATAACAATGTTTGGGCGGTTAGCTTTGATTGTTCTTTATTATTACTATTATTATTATTATTATTATTATTATTGTTGTTGTTGTTGTTCCCTTAGAACGAAATAAATGGTTCGATTTGAAATTCCAATCACCTGAAGAAGGCTACAGCATACAATGGCCGAAACGTTGTGAATATGGTACTGAAGATGAGGATAACGTTCCGAGTAATGTAAATAATGCAAGAATTCATAATACCTCATCTCAGAGAGATAGAAAGCTATAAGAGCTGATGGTTGCTTAGAAACGTCTATAAAATGCTGCCTTGTGCCAAACCTTGACCTAGTGGAACTAATACATTTTCGATGCAGTTAGATAAGCACACACACATCCTTCCAACGCAGAAATCCAGGCACACATGAAATATAAGAATTCCTTGCATCACTTCTGATAGATGTCATTTTGAATTGGATTTGATTGATTTCGATAAACAGCCACGATTTATATAGAAAATAAAAAGAAATCGGCTCGAAAGAGGAGAACCAAGTGTAGGCGTACGTCGGATCAGTGCAGCAAAGAAGCGCCCCAATTCTTCTGCTTAAAATTCTTCGAGTAGACGCCCAAACCAATTCATTCTGGGCCGAATGAATCGCCTGAAGCCAAGCGGAAACTGGCTCAGACACGGATCACCGAAATAGAAATTCCAGGCTTTGGTGATCAATAGATGCGTGTGCCCTCTTTCTCTGTGGCCCATTGAATAACTGGCACCATATTGACGTTTCGATAACTGCTACAGTTTTTTGAAAGAGACTGTCTTCTTCGCTAAGGGCGGTATATGATAATCGTAAATCACGTGGTCAGGTAGTCAGTTGAAATAGCATTCAGCCCTTTATTCAGATTCAGCTGATGACACTTTGGGAAAATTAGTATGCATAACGCTAGTCTAAACAGCAAATATTCTATAATACCCAATGTACATAGGAAGTCATGCTTGCGAAACAAATCTCTACCCAGACGTGTGCTATACGTAAACTATACTGGCAGTTAATGGTATAACATGTCATACTTATGGTTAATATTAAAATTGTATGTAAATCAGGATTTAAGTATATATGAATATAATTTTATGGCATATCGACTGCTATTTAATTAAAAATAGATTTTAATTCTTTGTAAAAAATATTCCAGGTGTAACATGACTTATTTTCTTTACTTATTTTAAATCCTGTTGCATATCAAACTAATCCATGATTTAAATTATGAAATGGACAAAGTCCGACAATTATTTTTTAAGACATTTTTTATGTTTATACGTTCTTTTTATAGGTACAAATATTTAAGCAAATGCTCTGTTTATAATAAACAATATTAAACATTTACCGGCCTGAATGTCCGAGAAATTTTCATAGAAAATATGCGTCCTCCGACAAGAATCGAACCTGTATCCTATACGGAACCGTCATATAGCCTGACGTGCCTTAACCGATTGGGCCACAGAGGAGCATTCTGTTATCAAGGTCGATTTTACTGTTTTAAAGACAATTCTGCATGATTTTCTCTCATTCATTTCTATCTGCTAAATGCGTATCCAAATGTAAACTAATGACGTCATACAAAGTCCAACAATTATTTTTTATGACATTTTTTTATGTTTATACGTTCTTTTCATAGATACAAATATTTAAGTAAATGCTCCGTTTATAATAAACAGTATTAACAACATTTACTGGCCTGAATGTCCGAGAAATTTTCATAGAAATTTTCGGAGGCCGCATATTTTCTATGAAAATTTCTCGGACATTCAGGCCAGTAAATGTTGTTAATACTGTTTATTATAAACGGAGCATTTACTTAAATATTTGTATCTATAAAAAGAATGTATAAACATAAAAAATGTCTTAAAAATAATCCATGTTTATATAAAATGCACTCCAGACAACAAAGATTAGAATGGGTAGGGAAGAAGATTAGGAGATACCATCAAGGGATTAGAGAAAAGTAATCTAATTTGATAATCAATAATCTTAGTTGTCAATACATATAGAATTTACGCAAATTGAATTGTCCAAACAAAAAACAAAACCGGCATCTTTTGCTTTTATATTTACTTTTTTTTTACTTAGCACTTATAAATCATTTCTCGCTAAGTGAAGTTAACGGTAAGTCTCTGATTAGAAAGGAATATACCGTCATAAATTATGAGAAGAGTCTCTTTAACCCTTTCAGTCATGCGTTGCTGAACAATTTTAACCCTTCTGCCTGAGCTCCTGAGTCAAAATTCGAACATAATTGTTATGTAATGTAGATATAAAAATAGTTACAAGTCTTTACCCAATGTTCAACCAGTGGCTAGGGATTAAGTCATTTTTCTGTACCACTGTTCAACTGGTGGTTGTGTATTACGTCATTTTTCTGTACCACTGGTAAAGCGGTGGTCAGGGCCCATAGGTTTAAAGCAGTTTGCTATTTTCATACACTGTCAAAAACAAATTCGGTAATATACGGAAGGAGGAGGGGAGGCAGCTAAGGAGGGCAAGAAGAAAGGACTAAGCACAAACTACAAAAAGACGGAAACAAGAGTCGGACAATACTAACAAGTTATATTTTTAACCCTTTTGAGGCCTGTGTTCCTGAACAATTTTAATCCTTCTGCCTGAGCTCCTGAGTCAAAATACGCAAATAATTGCTATGTAATGTTTTACGGTAGATATAAAAGTAGTTACAAGTGTTTACCCACAGTTCAACCAATAGCTGGGCATTAAGTCTTTTTTTCTCTACCACCGGTAAAGCAGTGGTCAGGGCTTAAAGGGTTAAAATAAAACATCTCAAAATAATATGGTGCCTATGTACCCTGCTTCTTTCGGAATTATTGAACGTATTTTCCTTCATTTTTGTTACGCTTGTTTATGGCTTATGAAAATAGACAATTCTTTTCTTTTTGTCTAGAATATTTAGATTTTTTCGGTTTGGACTCGTCTCCACATTAGTCTATAAACATTTTTTTCTTCTTCTCACTGCCTTGGAATAAATAAAATGAAGTGGTATTCTTGTTTGTTACTCTAAGATGTTATCAACAGTTTTCCTGAATTCTCTTATTTTCTTCCAATTTTAATTTTTCATTTATTTACGCATTCGAAGCCACTTCTAGTGTTTAGCACCCCGTTACCTCCCTTTTTTATCAATATCAATTTTCGTACAAAATGTGGATCACAGAGCTTATTCAGCTTAATAAATATTTCCAGGAAACTTCAACTTCTGATTGGTCACTTAATATTTAAATCATGCCCGAATATCAATATCAATTTTCGTACAAAAAGTTGATCACAGAGCTTATTCAGCTTAATGTATATTTCCAGAAAATCTCAACTTCTAATTGGTCATTTAATATTTAATAACATCGACCTAGTTCTTGACCTGACCAAAAAGATAATTCCGGCAAAACCTATCAAGCTTCTGTGAGCCTATCACGTGACCAAAGTTAGCAATAAAATATGAAACGTCTTTCATCTTCGACAATGCGCCGATCGGAATCCTTTGAACTCGTAATACATTTCCAGGCTTTACGTTAAAGTTCCTCAACATGATTCCAGCCTGAGAGAACACTCATTCACACAGCAATATTTTATGACGAACAATCAACTCAAGTTTTCCACATTCAAATTAATACACGAATCTTTTTCATGCGCTTTCAAGCTCAACGTTAATTATTGCAATTAACATAAACACAGTTTGTTAAGAACCACTTATTTCAATTACAGAATATTCTCTTCGAACAAGTGAAAACAAATCAAAGAGCGACAATTCCGTAAACCTTAAAGTAAGTCGTAAACAATATTTCTCTATTTCAAATACAAACTTGAACTGTTTATCTTTTTCTTAAATTACAATAATACCCAAACAAACTTTCTCATTATTGTACAGACCATTCAACAACTTATAATCTATCAAACCAGAATTTTGATAACATTTCATCTAAACATAAAAGGACGTTTGAACTTTTTAAAACTACCTTTTTACTCCAGTTGTTTTTGTATCTCTTGTTTATATAAATATTTTATTCATTGTTGTGCAAAAACTGTTGTTTCTCATGCTGTCCTTGTTCTATGTTTGTTGAATTCTGAAATTTAAAGTGAGAGGAAATTGCTAATTTCATCACGCAGCTTAATTTACTCAACAATTTTTTATTCATATAATTTAATTAATTGACACAACCTCTATTTATTATTTTTTTTTAACTTCTTTTTTTTTTATTTTAAGTGAATTTTTTCATTTTTCTTTTCTTCTTCTCGAGATTTCTTTCTTTTTTTCTTTTCTTTCGTTCACTTTTGTCCTTTTATTTCTTCCTACACTCATTTTTTCTTCCAATATCTTTCAGTTTTCATTTATTTAATTTATTTTCATCTATTTTTCATAACCGCCGTTTCTTGATTTCTTCGTTTTTAATATTTCTGTTCATCTGATTTCATTTGTTCATCTTGTAACTACCTTATTTCCCACTTTCTTCTCCAGAATTTAAGAAAAGCTTTGCTTTCTTAACTCTTTGAGCACTGACCACCACTTTACCGGTGGTAGAGAAACATGACGTAATGCCAAGCCACTGGTTGAACAGTGCTAGAGAAAAATTATTTAAGTCCCCGCCACTGGTTGAATGGTGGGTAAACACTTGTAACTATTTTTATATCCACCGTGAAACATTACGTAACAATTATTTGCGAATTTTAACTCAGGAGCTCAGGCAGAAAGGTTAAAATCATTCAGGAAAACAGGGTTAAAAAGGTTAAAGAAAGTATAATGTTAGTATTATCCGATTCTTGTTTCTGTCTTCTTGTAGTTTGTGCTTAGTCCCTTCTTCTCGCTCTCCTTCGATACCTTCCCTCTTCCTTCCGTATATTAGCAAATTTGTTTTAGACAGTGTATGATATTAGCAAACCGCATTAAACCTATGAGCCATGACCACCGCATTTACCGTTGGTAGAGAAAAATGACGTAATGCCCAGTCACCGGTTGAACGGTGGGTAAACACTTGCGTCGTATTTTGCGATTGGTTGTCTTATTTTGAAGAGCCAATCAGAAAAGCCGTAATATTCTGATGTCATCAAACGTTATACCAACACCAATAGCAATATTTTTATATCTAACTTGAAACATTACATAACAATTATTTATGAATTTTGATTCAGGAGCTCAGGCAGGAGGGTTAAAATTGTTCAGGAACGCAGGACCCAAAGGGTTAAAGAGACTCTCCTCATAATTTATGACGATATATTCCTCTCTAATCTGAGACTTACCGTTAACTTCAGTTAGAGTGAAATGGTTTATATTTGCTAAGTAAAGTTAAGTTTGTGACTGGCCGATAAAATCACGCGGCTTCTATGTAAAGAATAAATAGTACAACCAATATATAAATATAAAAGTAAAATTGTTCAGGAAGGCGGGGCTAGAAGTGTTAAATTGTGTTTTATCTGTCGTTCGTTTAATTCAGCATTTTTCTTTTCTATCGTGCCAACCTTTGAACTTCAATGTTTCGTTGACTCTTTCATTCATTTCTCTCGTTTCTCATTGTTTCCATCTCTTTCGCTATCGTTTTACTTTTTTTCTTTTATTCTTATTTTTATTTCTTTTTCCTTTTATTTTTCATCCATTTTCTCATTTTTTTCTGTTTGTCATTTCTATGTTTTTTGTCTTTTTTTTCATTTTTCTCTACTTTCTTTTCCTTTCATTTGTCTTTCCTTTCTATTTTTTGTTCTTTACTTTGGCTTTTCTTTCTATTTTCTTTTTCTTTCTTTATCCCATTTCCCTTCTTTCTTTCTTTTTATTTTCTCTTTCATTTCTTTCTTTTCTCTTTTGTTCTTTTAATCTTGTCTTTCCATTCTCTTTCCTTTCTTTTCCCTTTCCTTCCTTTTCTTCTTCTTCTCTCTCTCACTTTTCCTTCCGTTCTCATCACACTTCTTTCTTTTCTTCTCTTTTATATATTTTCATTTCTTTCCTTTTTTTTTCAAAACCTTTTCATTTTCTTTCTTTTCTTTTTGTTCCTTTCACGTTTCCTTCTTTTTTTTCCCATTATTTTCATCTTTCTTTTGCTTATTATTTTTTATTTCCTTTGTTTTTTTCCTTCTTTTTTCTCTTTGCTTTCTATGCTTCTATGGTTTTCTCATTATTACTCACTAATCTCTCACGTGACTAAATAGAGAGCAAGATGATTGTGTTACGCCAATCTCCCAAGTGGAGATTTTGAGAAAACGGAAGTAAATAAATCACCAATGAAAACGATAGGAAAAACAAGAGAAACGCTTAATGAAATTTGAAACTGCCATTTCAACGAGCTGCGAGTCTACAATCCATATATTTTCTATAGTTTTTAGCTAAATCTATTTTAGTGACTCGGCAAATTTAATGGGTATTTTCTGTATTTGCTAAAACTTTTTAGTGAACGTTGCTTCGCGTATGATACGGAGTTGCGAACTCTATAAACTACGTATTATTCAAGAGATAATTAAGCATAAGTTAGATTTGAGGAAAGTAGGATTTGTACCAAATTTCTATTACGATTCTTTGGAAATAAATGATCTATTTTAAGTCATTATCATTTTAAAACAGTAGAATCCCTCATATCCGGAGTACCTCATATCCGAAATCGTGAATATCCGGACATGATTTTGATGTGTATATTTGAACTGTTTAGGTGATATGTAACTGATCTGAAACATCTGTTTTTCAGGAAATTTACTTTGGATAATTGCTTATACTTATTTCGCCCTAACGGGTTGTATTGATGCAAGAAGATGATGGGAATAATAGGAAAGGATGACAACGAGACACATCTGCAACAAGATAGTGACGAGATGCATGATTGTGATGAAACCTGGATTGAAATTGAAAAAGCTATTGAAAAGGTTGTCAGTTTTATGGAAAGAAAGCCAGCATTCAGCTATGACGATTGCAATAACGCACGTAGAATTAAAAATGTGTCAAAACGAAATGCGGAAAAAGTTAAGAATGACATTAGAAGAGAAAGAATCATCATGCAACAGCGATTAGAAAAATCCTCGTTACATTATTTGTTTTGCATACGTGGCATACTTAATTTAATGAATTTTCATTAACATGACATAATTTATTTCTTTTTCCTTAAAATCAATTCCGTTATATTTCACTCACCATTAGCTTATTTTGTTTACTATAAAACACTGAAAATAAATGTTAAACATGATTTCAGTTCTTTTATTTTAATCTAAATATAACCCCTTATATCCGGACTTTGTAAACAATTCCTTATATCCGGAAGGCCTTCTTAATCCAGAATTTTACTGTATCTAAAAAACTAACCATTAGAAATGGCAAAAAATATAATTAAATATTTTACTAAGGGTGGAAATAAACAAGTTTAAAATTGACAATTATTTGCTCATCACTTTTTAAGTTATTCAGGTTTATTTGATTTGCATAATACCTTTAGTCAGGTTTTAGTTTTAAGATGCTATATATTTACAGGGTAAACGTATTCACTCTCCAAAATAGAGCGTATAGATATGGTTCTGTGTATAACAGCGTCATTTGATCTAAGCCAGTGCATTCTAGCTGTACCTTGCAATATCATCAAATTTTGTTGGTTCTCCCACGCCTTGCAGGAGCAGCAGGTGCAATCAGGTGCATTCACTACCCTTACCGTGAAGTTTATCACCTTTGATATTAAAGAAAGATCAGTCATACAATTCCAGATTTCGGATTGCAACAGTAGGAAAAACACTTTGTTGTAAATCCAGTTATTCTTCGGAAATAAATTACTTGATCTATTTGAAGTCATTATCATTCTAATAAAAACATAGTTTTATGCTACTGACATTCAGTTTAATATCAACATTTGTTAGGTACAATAGTTTATTTTCTCGAAAATTATTTTTTTTCCTTTAGCTAATGGACATCTTCCTTTTCTATGAAATACTTTTCCATGAGATAGAATCTCGAGATCCATTACATTACGTGTATAGTACCTCTAAAATGACCAAATTACTTACATGGCATAGTAACTTCCACATTTGATTTGTTCATAATATCTAGGATCAAAGTGGAGTAGCTGTTTATTCTTTAAAAATGTTTCATAAAAGTATATGAATGCATATTGCGTTTTATACATCGGTAGAATTATATACTTGTGTCATTGACAAATAATGTAAATTAGTAAATAAATACAGTAAAGGTATAATAAAAAATGACATGTTACTAATAAAATATCAAAAGCCTATGTCCATATATTCAATAATTCCAGAACATTTCTCTGTTATCAGAACGAAATAAGACAAGTGTCCCATAACGAAATAATTTATTACTAAACAAGGGAAAATCAAGTTACGTAATCGATAAATGTATAAATTTACATTATCTTATATTTAGAAATGATTTACAGTGTTAAAAAGGAAAATAATTGCAAATAGTTCGAGACAATCATATTTTTCCTGCCAAATTTCAATTCTTCTGATTGTTTCATGAGAGTGTATTGTATTTATTTCTTATGACCACCAAAGCTTTAGCCTTTTTTCTAATTAAAAATACAACGGTTATAGGCAAGGGTTTAGATCTATATGTTCAATATTCAATATTTTAATTTAAACTTGTTTCCTGTGTATATAAAATAGACTGATTAGCGAATTTCTGAAGATCACCAACGTGTGAATCTCTTTTCGAATAAAAATCGAAACAGAAGTCAGTTTGCGATAAATAACTTCGCAAATACACCTTTGTGCAAAACAATTGAAACAAAACAAATGAATCCGTTATTATTTAGTTTTTTCGTATTTTTCCAATGAAACCTGACACAGTTCTCATGTTAGTACTTCGTATGCCAATTCCACAAAGTCGTTCCTTGAAGACTGACCACAGATTCTTGATGGGATTTAAATCAGGGGAGATTCCGGACCAGTCTATAGTACTTTGATTTGCTCACTGGTAAGGCTTGCTAGAGTGTTCGTGCAGCATTACAATTTTCGTACGCTTCCTTGGAGTAACGTCCATCGCAGAAAATGGCTGTGGGACAACTAATCAACAGTCGAGTCAATAGTGTCTGGGCGTGATAAAAATCTGATGCAATCACGGATGTCGCAATATTTTTCAAGGCCAAACAAATTTCATCATACAGCATGAAAATAGATTCATATTACTGCACACCACTGCAAATGACTTAATTTAAGAAAAAAATAAAAATCGATTGCTGTCACTCTTGTTGGTTTAAAACTGACCGTATGTTGAAAGAAAGGAAACTAAAGCGTTTGTTTCAATTAATTTGCACAAGGGTGTACAAGTTTGAAAACACTTACGATTTTTAAAACAATGAAAACAGAATTAAAATCAATGTGGTCAAAAATAAGGAAAAATTGGAGAAAAAAGACAAGAAATCCTTTTTGCGCAGGTACATCAAGACGTCGTAGCCTTATGGCGGAAAATTATTTTACAAAAATTAACTTAATCTCATTCCTTCTCAATGCATTTAATTAAGTGGTTATTATATAAATACATCAATAAGTTCGTGTACTAATGATGAAGAAAAGCACTTATTTTCACCATAAATATTTATTCTTCTTCATAATTTTCATCTTTCGTATGAAATTGACTTTTGAATTATGCAAAATACGGAAAGAGGATTGACCTGCTCCAGCTTAGATATGACAGCAATTCTCCATTTCTGGTCTGATCTGACTTTTGTAAAGATAAATCATGGCTGATGGGGTCAGAAACTTTCGGCAGCGATAAAAGGATCCGATCATTTTCGCATCATCATTAGCGATGTCATGTGTATGTGTTTCACTTGAGGTTTGACTGTTCACTTAACTTGATTGTTACATAAAAGTGATGATTTTGCAAACAAAGCAAAAATTAATAGTAATCTGTCTTCAGCCTATTCTTCCCTATTTAGGAGGTATTTTATTATAATGTGATGAGCACGGGGGTCTCTCCGATTATTGGCATCAAATAATGCTTCCAGTGATTATACAAACGGACTAGTTCACTACCTTAAAAAAGAAATATATATATATATATATTAAGCATTTCACCCCAAGCTAGGCGGGAGTGTCACTAGCAAGCAGTGGGTGATTGAGTCAATAGCTTCGTCCACCGCAAGGAAAGTTGGCTCCCTGCGCCGCGCCAGGAAATTTTTCTCAGCGGAGTCGTTCCTTCAAATCTACAAATCAATCATTCGCTCTTACATGGAGTATTGCTGCCTTATATGGTCTGGAGCCCCTTCTGGTTGTCTCAATGTCCTTGATAAAATACAGAGACGGATATGCAATGTAATTGGCACTGATCCTTACATCTCATCTGCAGTCGCTCTCTCACAGACGTGCCGCCGCCTCCGTCTATCTTCTTTACAAATACTTTCATGGTAACTGCTCCTTTCATTGGTTCCCAGACTTCATGAATTTAAGCGTTCTACTAGGCTGGCATCTCGCTCACACCCTTTCACTATCGAAACTGTTAAATGTAGCCGTCTCTTCTACTCCAATAGCTTCATGTTTCGCACTTCTCGCCTGTGGAACTCCCTCTTTTCCTGTTTCCCTGATAGCTATAATCTCCAACTATTCAAATGTAATATCAATCGACATCTCCAGATGCCTTGATCTATCCCCTATCCTTCTCTTCATCCTTTCCTCTATCACTCCTATTTGCTCTCGCTCTAACTCTCTGTAGCCCTTTGCGTGCTAGTGGCTTTCCGCCTTGTGTGTGAGCAAGAGGAAAGAGGATTGGTTGGGAAAAGAATAAAAAGAAGGGGATCAAGATCAAGACATCAGAAGATGTCGATTGACATTATATTTGAAGATTAGGGAAGCAAGTAAGAGGAAGGGAGTTCCACTGCCTGGAAGTGAGAGATAATAAGCTGTTGGAGAAGAATAGACGGCTTCATCTAACCGTTTCAACAGTGAAAGGGTGGGACCGAGATGCATCAGTGAAAGTAGCTCCTCAGAGCAGTATCCATGAAAATATTTATAAAAAAGACAGAGGGAAACCACAGCACGTCTTTGAGAAAGTGACTGTAGACGAGATGCCAGATCAGGACATTGCATATCCGTCTCTGGATTTTGTTCAGGACCTCGAGTTGAACTGCGGGGGCATCAGACCATATATATTCACTCGCAAGGGCGAATGGTTGATTTGTAGATTTGAAGGATAAACCCAGGCGAGACAAACCTTCTG